AAAGGTGAAGGAGAGAGAAAATGAAGGAGGAAGAAGAAATCTGATGTGGGTGAAAAAGAAAAAAAGAATTATTATTTTTAAATTATATGTTTTTTTTCATGTGGGTCCCACGAAAGTGAATCTGAAAAGTGAGGAAGCAATCTGACGTGGAAAAATGCCAGGTGTAAAAAATGTCCTTGCTGGATTTACACGTCATTAAAAATAAAAAAAGTCGATGATTTTGTGGCATTTTAACGGGCCACCTGGCGTTTAACTGACGGAAGGACCATTTTGGTACCAAAAATGAAAGTTCAAGGATAATTTTGGTACTTTTTAAAGTTGAGGGACAATTTTAGTACCAAAGTGCAAAGTTGAGGGACCAAAATGGTACTTAAACCATATGTTATTGGTGATATCAAACTTCCTACAAAGGTTGTTGAGGAACTGGATGACAAATTTGCTAATCGTCTAGAGGATTGGGATAGCAAAAATACCAAGTTATTACTTGGTTCTATAATATCTCTACTCCTATTAATCTCCAATTTGGGAGATATGACATTGCTAAAGAGGTATGGGAGCTACTAGCAAAAATGTACACCACTTTTGATTTTTCAGGTAAATATCAATTATAGGAAGAATTGCAAAATTTGACATAGGAATGTGATAAGTCTATCACTAGCTTTTATGCCAAAATGGAAGCTATTGGGATTAGCTTGCACTTTCTAAACCAAAACTTGATTGCACTGTTGACATTAAGAAATATACCTAGCATCGTGGTCGAATGAGATTAATTCAGTTTCTTATGGCTTTTATTGATGATTATGAACTTTGCAAAGCCTCTTTACAACATCAGTCTCCATTCCTTACTCTAAATAATGCAATCTCTTGATTACTATCTGATGAGACTCGTTTGAAGCTACTTATACCTCAATAAGTTTAAATTGTTCTAGCAACTATGAACAAGAATTCCTCCAAGGGTGGATAGAAGTTTTGTCACCATTATAATAAGCCTAAACATGTTTTGTGCCAATGCAATCTTGTTGAATACCATAAATGTAAGAAGAAAGGGCACATTACTTCTAATTGCCCCACTTGACTTTCTTAAAAATCTGATCAGTGGAAGAATCAATCAAGGCTTGATTTATCTAATAAAGTTGTGATAGTTGCAACTGTTGCTAGTGAAAATGCCATCTCCACTATTTCAATCGGTAATCTAAAACTTTTTGGACAAATGCTTTCTTCATTTGCTCCTAGTAGATCTACTGCTTTATGTATTGTTTAAGGTAATACTTCTTGGCTTTTTGACTCTGGTTGTAATCATATGACCTCTCATTGTCATCTTTTCTCTAAATTGACTCCAAACACAAATACACCTCAAATTCATCCTATTGACGGCTCATAAATGTAAGTTGGTCAACATGGTCAAATTTCCACCTTTATCCTTACCTTATAACACCTTCTTGATTCCTAAAATTAATTTTAACCTTATCTTTGTTAGATAATTATGTGAAGTTGGTCTTGAATTAATATTTTTTACTAATGGCTGTTAGGTATTAAATTCACAGGCAAGATGGATTCTTGGGATAGGGCATAAAGTTGGTCGCCTATTTGAACTCACCTTTTTGCATATTGCTTCTGATCGTATTTCCCAATTATGTGCTACTTCAACAAACTCTTCTTTACACTTGTGGTATCTCTATCTTGGCCATGCTTCTTTTAGTAAACTCTGTCCCTTACTTTCTAATGGATATTTAGGTTTTGTTAAAGAAGAGTCTTTACATTGTGTTTCTTATCAAGTTACTAAACAACCTGCTTTATCTTTCAATAAGTGAGACTCTATTTCTATTGCACTTTGGATATGATTTATTCTAATGTGTGGAGTCTTTCACCTGTATCAACTATGGGGCTTCAAAGTATTTTGTGATTTTTGTAGATGATTATTCTCATTTTTCTTGGTTATATTTGATGGAAAAATGCTCTGAGTTGCCCCAAATTTACGTGATTTTGTTAATATGGTTACACTCAAATTTCTAAAACAATCATAGTTTTAAGAACAGATAAAGCTCTGGAATATCTTGACTCTAAACTTCAAAATTTTTTTAAAGAGTAGGGTACAATACAACAAAGTTCTTGTCCACACTTCCCAACAAAATGGATGAGTTAAACGTAAACATTGACATATCTTGGATTCAGTCTGAGCTCTTCTACCTTCATCCTTCAATCTTGAGCATTTTTGGGGTCAAACTACTCTTACAACTATTTTTTTTATCATAAATCACATCCCCTTTACTACCATTAAGGACAAATCTCCCTATGAATGTCTTCACGATGTTCCCCTTACTTATAATCTTCTAAAGGTCTTTGGATGTTACATATTTTGTTTTTCTTCCTCCACATGAACATAACAAGTTGGAGCTTCGAGCTCGATTAGTCATTTTTTGGGTTATGGGATACAACATAAAGGTTATAGTTGTTGGGATATCACAGAAACTGTCTTGTCATGTTGTTTTTTGGGAACATACCATGTTCTCTTCTCTTTTAGACTTTAAGGTGTCTTCCTCTAATCAAACTCCTTTATTCACTAAGCCATCTCTTAAATTATTCCCTGAGGATGATGCAAGGATTTTTGGTGAGTTTACTAATAAATAACCTAATACAATTCCTTCTCTAGATGAATTCCTTTATGGTAATATTGCACCAGACACTATTGAGGCTAAGAATATACATGTTACCTCCTTTTCAAACCGTTTGACTCAAGTAAGAAATCCTCCTAACTACCTTCAAGATTACCATTGTTTTTCTACTCTTATTTCCTTGCATGAATCCCAATTATATAAAGAGGCATCTTCTGACGCTCCTAGCAACAAACTATGTAAGATGAATTACAGGCTTTAGAAAAGATAGGTACATAGGACTTGGTTGATCTCTCTACTGATAAGACTTTGGATGGATGCAAGTGGGTGTACATAATCAAAACTCGTTCTGATAGAACTATGGAGCACTATAAAGCGCATTTGGTTGCTAAGGGGTTTACATAGGAATATGAAATTGACTATGAGGAGACATTTGTTTTGGTTGCTCATCTCACTACAATTCATAGTTTACTTGCCATTGATACTGTACAAAAATGGAAATTATTTCCGATGGATGTGAAAAATGCATTTCTCAATGGTGATCTAATAGTGGAAGTTTTCATGAAACCACCTCCTAGCCTTGACCATCCTCCACAAAAATTATGCAAATTAAGATGTGCATGACATGGCCTAAAGCAATCACCTTGAGCTTGGTTTGCAAATTTAGTGCAATTATTAGTGAGTTTGGTTTCACTTTGAGTCCATATGATACTGCTTTGTTCATTCATAAGATTGCTCAGGGAATGATTCTCTTACTTCTTTATGTTGACAATATGATTAAATCTAGAGATCATATTTTAGGAATCCATAAGCTTAAGTAGTTTATTAACCAAGATTTTGAGATGAAAAATCTTGGTCTTTTAAGTTATTTCTTATGACTTAAGGTCACCTCTTTAGATGATGGCTACCTTTTCTCTCACACAAAGTATGCATCTAATCTTATCTCTAACGCTGGATTGACTGTTAGTAAGATTGTTTCTACACCTCTTGAACCAAGTGCTGGGCTTACACTTGCAAATGGTTCTCCACTTAAAGATCCTATTGTCTATCGACAATTAGTTGGGAGCTTGGTTTATCTTACTATAACACAATTGGATATAACATATGCAGTTCATATTGTTAGTTAATTTATGCCTGCCCCTCATTCCTCTCATTATGCAGCTGTACTTTGCATTATTTGCTACATCAAGGGGAACACTATTTCATGGACTCCATTTTTCTACCCATTCCTCACCTATACTTTGTGCATATTCTGATGTTGATTGGGTTGGTAATCCTATTGATCGTAAATACATTATCGATTATTGCCTTTTTTTTGGAGACTGTTTTATCTCTTGACGTAGCAAGAAACAAAATTTTGTATGTCGCTCTAGCATTGAGGTTGAATATAGAGCTCTAGCTGACATCGTGGCAAAACTTCTTTGGGTTTGTTGGCTTCTTGAGGATATAGGTGTTTCACAGTCCTTTACCACCACTCTTTACTGTGATAATCAAAGTAAGTGCTATGCAAGTTACTCACAATGATGTTTTTCATGAGTGTACTAAATATATTGAAATCGATTGTCACTTTATTCGCTAACATATTAACCGAGAAACTATGCACTTAATCTACATTGGCTCTGTTGATTAGCCAGCAAATCTCTTGCTAAAGCACATTCCCCTAAATGCTTTCATACTTTTCTGTCCAAACTCAAGTTGGTTTGCTCTTTCCCATCTTGAGTTTGAAGGAGGGGTGTTATGATATCTATAGACATGCTCATGAATGCATTGAAAAGCAAAATACAATTTCTTGCTGTAAGAGCAATTGCTTCACTCAATTTTCTACTACCTCAATATGCCATCTTTGCTACATGCACAATAGTCTACTGCTCCATTAATGCAGCAAGTACAAGCAACCATTTCATCAAGTGCTTTTACACCAAAGCTAGTTCATTTATTTTGTGTGTGTGTATATATATATATACACACTTATAAAATTGTAATAATAAGTTGAAGAAATACAATTAACTTTTTTTGTTCACCATTAAAATTAACAGAGAAGATAAAGAAAGAATTAGAATTTAGAAGGATCTTAGGAAGTGAAGATGGAGTAAATTTAGGTCAATCATATAAAAAACCAAAATTCTTAATTTAAATCTCATTAATTTTTTATTTATTATTAAAAAAAATATTCAAACTTTTTCTTAAGTTTACAAAAAAAAAAAAAAAAAAAAAAACC